ATCAGGGTTTCTCAACCTCAGTATTGTTGACATTTTGGACCAGATAATGCTTTGTTGTAGGGCCTGGCCCGTTATTGTAGGACGTCTAGCAGCATCTCTCACTTCTTCCTACTGTGCCAGTAGCACCTACTTCCCCATCCCCGTCGGACAATCAAAAATGTCTCCAGACATCGCCTAATGTCCCATAGCAGGGCAAAATCACCCTGGATTGAGAAGCACTGGTCTGCACCACTTCTTGCTGCCTTCACTGTGCTGTACAAACCTGGGAAACTGGGGAGGGCCACGCAGGGAAGATTCACAGTGATAGGCCACGGGAGCTGAGTTCTGGTGGGTGAGTAGGTGGCTGAGGCCAGGACAAGGCATTCTTTACAACAGAGAGAACAGTGGGTGCAGAGGCCTAGACGCAGCCATGTTGGTGAACATTAACCCAAGGGAGACTCCACTCTCCAGAGGAAGGAGGCTGGACGGCTGTGGCTTAGGGGTTATAGCTGTAGGAAGGTGCCTCTGCTGGCTCCCTTGGTCTTCTGCCCCCAGAGCTAAGCCTCTGCTGGAGCTTGTGCCCCACCCCCAAGACTCTGGGATGCTCTTCCTAAGCTCCTCGTCCTCTTGCAGGGGAGACTGAAGAGCTGAGGGCTGCCAGAGGGTAAGTAAGGTCCCAGCTTCAAGAGGGAGGAAGGGTGGGCAGATCCTGGCTGTGCTCACAGACTCTGGCCAACTGGCTGGAGGAGCAAAGGCAGCCTGCTGCCGGCAGCCTCCCTTCCCGGAGCTGGGGTCACGGCTGAGACTGATTGATTCCCATCGTAATCTGGTGGTTGGTTTGGTGAGAGTTGGAAACATGTTGGTTTTCCCTTCCCAAGTGTAACAAGGCCTGTTTCCGCTTCCCCGGCCACTGCTGCAGTGCCACGTGGTGAAGTGTCCGAGACGTGACAAAAGGGTTAGCTGCCCACCGGTTAGAAGATGAACAGCTCGGGGCTCTGCCTGCTGTCACGCTCCTCTGCCCCAAGCACTGGCCTCTCCCCTTCGCTGGCTGTGCCTTGGGGCCCTGGATACCCCTCCTACTGCTGATGCCCATTTTGGGGCCCCAGCCTCCTGAGAGCCAGGATCCTGGCCTGGGGAGGAAGCAGGGAGGAGGCTGTAGGAACAGGTGGTATTTGGAGACTAATTAATATTTGTGAGTAATAACACGTGCCCAAGGGAAACAAATCAATTTGTGTTTTCATATTCATGAGGAGGCCTCGGAATGATCCCAGATGTTCTCCAGCCAGGGAACCACCCCCTGCATGTTTGGCATCACATGGTCTCTCCTGGGGGGCCCCCCATTGAGGCTGGCAGGGGTGGTTGGGTGGGCCGCATGGCAGTGACCTAGTCTCTGTGTAACAGGCCTTTCTGTGATGTTTGTATTCGAATCCTGTGGCTTAGTGTGGGGCCTGCTCCTTCCTTTTCCCTCAGAGCAGTGATTCCCAGGCTCTTCAGTTTCACAAACCAGTACAGTTTCCAGAAGTACTTGGGGGCCAGGCATGGGGTTGGCAAAATTTTTTATCTTGCCAAGTAAGGACATTATAAAAAAAAACAAAACTGGTATCTGCTATCACCATCACTTCCTACAAGAAAGGACATTTTAACACCAAGGACGTAATTTCAGAATAAAGGACAGTTCTTCCCAAGAAAGGGCAGTCGGCAGCTTTACACTGATGTAGCAAAGAAAAAGGGTATATTAAAACTATTCTGAGTGTAGAAAAATGGCATTTGATGATATTGTACAATATCGTTCAGTATGGAATTGTTTTCCTGCCCAAGTGTGTCAGTTGGTAGAACCGATGGTCCGCAGTGCAATTCAGAGACGAGCTGAGTGTGCAAGTGCTCAGGCCGTGTTTTCATCTCGGCTGTTGAGAGCCCAGATTCACCCAGCCGTGGGCGGAAGTGGACGCTCTGCTCTTAACGCTGTTGCACTGAATTCAGAAGGTTCTTAGCTACCCCAGCAAGGCTAGCGTCGGTCCACCTCCCTGCTCCCCTCCCGCCACCTCCCCACAGGTGACCCTGAGCACTCTGGGGTGGGGGCAGGGCCAGCGTCTAGACGGAGGCCAGACCCAGAAGCCAGGACTCCTCCTATGCGGGGCCCTGGAGCTGGGAGTGGCCTGCGCCGCCTGACACTGGGGCACGCTGTGTGCCCAGAGTCTGGGGTGGAGGCAGCTTGCTCACACCAGGAGCTGGTGAGGGAGAGCCCCTGGCTCAGACAGCTCTGTGATTGCCTGAGTAGTTCCCTGAGAACGTGTCCATGTCTGTGTGTCCCCGCGTCTCCCCGTCTCTCTGGGTGTCCTCGTGTCCATGGACCACTGGGAAGAGCTCTCTGGGAGGGAATGTCATTGTTTTCAACTTCACCTCTGTCTGTCCTACTTTCTGCATCTGAACAGTATCCTAGGCACTCCAGACCCAGATACCCAGGAGGACCCTGGGGTCCCCAAGTCATGGCCACTTGTTTTTGTTACAGTGGGGGTGGGGTTACCAGAGGCAAGCCCAGTTTCTCTGACACCCGTGGGCAGAATCTCATCCAAGAGTGTACCACATGATGTCTGCTCTGGAATTAACACCCCCTTGATGGCTGTACTGGGGAGTGACACCCCATGATGTGTATAACAGGGTTATTCCTCTATGATAACGTACCCCTATAACGTCCATCGGGCAGCTGCACCCCCATGATGTCTGTCTACACTCACATGATGTCTGGACAGGACTGCTACACTTCCGTGATGCCTCTCCCTGGGAGTTGCACTGCCATGATTACTGTACCAAGGCAGCTACAGGGGATTACACCTTAATGATCATTGTACTGGGGAGTTTCACCCCATGATGATTGTGCTGTGCAGTTGTACCTTCATAATGTCTCTTCTCTGTAGCTTCATCCCCTTTACATCCATACCAGGGAGCTGTGTCCCCCATGGTGTGTGTTCCTAAGGGTTATGCCCCCATGATGTCTGCACTGGGAGGAGGGTTCACACCCTGACTGATTGTACCTGGGAGTGAGACCTCTGTGAATACTGTATTGTTGCACCCTATGATGTCTGTACTAGTCCCCTCTGCCTCTGTCCTTTGGTGTAACACACCACTGATATGTGTACCAGGAGCTGCAGGATGGTTGTATCAAGGGGCCATACCCCCATGACACCCTGGCCAGGCAGTTCACCACCTGATGTCTGCTGGAAGTTGAATTCTATTTTTGGTCGCAATGCTGCACGACAGTGCCATGATGACAAAGCCCAGACAGACGGCCTTAGTGATGCATGTCCTCCTTCCCAAGTTGGCCGTATGGGGCATGGTGCTGGGGACTTCCTCTCTCCTTGTCTCGCCACACTGAGCGGAAGCCCAGGCATGGTGTAACTAGGGCTGGATGCCCACCATGCTGCTTCAGTGTGCTTGCTTTTGTTGCTTAGCCTGTCTCAGACTTTCGGTGAGATCTTGGGACAAGGGACACCTCCCACCCTTTCCCCTTTGTGTTCAGGCCCTACCTCACTTCACAGTTGTACCTGCTTTGTCCCAGCACCTTTGCTCACCTCCTGCCCTCTGATCTTATGACCTTCAACTGTCCCATTTGAGACTAGGGTCTAATTTCCAGGGAGGAGCAGAGCCATCTTTGAGCCCAGCCTCTTCCTATTCACCAGCCCTGTCACCTCCTTGCAAATATTCTTACCGTTGTGGGTTAGCTGGCACCTGGGTCTGATCCCCACTCTCCCACCAGAATCCGTAGGTACCACTGCGGGGCCCCCAGGTGTGTTCACCGTCACTCACTCCCCTTCTGTGCCCTGTTGTGTCTCGAGAGCATTAATGAGGGGCTTTGTGCACCAGCGCCTGGCCCAGAGCAAGGTGTAAGCCGAGCTGGTGGGCACTGGCACAGATTCCCAGAAGCCCCCTAAAAGGGAGCCATGAGAGAGAGACCCTTGGGAGCTCGCCACCGGGGCTAGAGAGTGATAGCAGTGTATGTGTACCGTCTGGTGTGGCCATGCTGAGGGTTCCACATTGGTGCTGGGCGGAGTGGGCGGTGGGGGCACACCTGGCTGAGGAGCCCTGTACGCAAAGGCCTGGGGGCATTCAGGCAATCCCGAATGGTCTTCCCCATGCCCAGGTTCCTGGCTCAGCCTGGATGGCAGTTGTGAGCAAGTGCACCCCACCCCTTGATATGCTCTGGGCCACTGGGGCAAGGGCTGAGGAGGTGTGAGGTCGACCCTTAGGGTCCAGCACCCCCAGTCCTAGCCACTAGGGCCTCCCTGTGGTTTCCTGTGGTGGGAAGGTGCCATGGGAATTGGGTAGGATGAGGGTAACCAGGCGGGGCGGGTGCAACTTGTCCAGAGCATGTCCTGGCGAGCCCAGACGGGTTGTGGCTTTGGCTCCAAGCCTCTGATACCTGGATCTTGTCTGCTATGACCAAGGCTGTGCTCTGAGGCTTGTGCCCAGCATGCGGGCTCTGCTGGGGAGAGGAGCGGCAACAGGAGACCCCAGGGACTCTGGAGTCCCTGGCCTCTGTGGGTCTGCTAACTACTCCGTCTCGGTCTTGCTTTGTTTGGTCTCTGTCTCCACCTGTGTGTCTCTGTGTCTCTCAGACCCCGTTTCCCTGTCCCAGTCCTCTTATGGAGGCAAGCTGGAAATTCTAGGTCTGGAACAGAACATCCCTATACATCCTCTTGTCTCGGTAGTCCCTGCCCCCCTACTCAGGTTTAGAGAATGACCTGGGGGCCTCTTGTACTCTCTCCCTACAGTGTGACTGGTGGGTTATCCTTGGAGTCACTAGGGGATCGATTAAGAGCCTGGGTTTTCACAGGGGTCGGAAGGTCTGGGTGGTCATTGCACAGTCCAAGGGGGGCGGTACCTGTTGAACTAGGCTCTGGGTGATCAACGATGATGAGTGGTGGTCTTGGTGGTGAGTGGGGGCCAGGAGGTGGCATGTGGGCAATAAGACATTGGTGGGTACCAGCTAATTGGCTCTGCCCTTCTCTCTGTCACAGGTTGATTGTCCTGAACTGTAGCTGGCTGTGGTGCTGGAGCCCTGGATGGCCCCTGAGTCAGCCTCAGGGAGGACGATGGTGCCCCTCGTGCCCGCACTCGTGATGCTTGGTTTGGTGGCGGGTGCCCATGGCGACAGTAAGTCTGACCTCTCAAGGCATGGGATCTCCCAGATGGAAAGGTGCATTCCTCCCAGCAGGACTCTGGAAGGAGGACGAGGCCAACCACTAGGAGAGACAGGATGGCTAGATACACCTCCAGACCTTCTGTCCTAGAGAGACCCCCCCCCCCACTTGGAGACCGCCCCCCTCCAAGTAATACTCCAGCCCCGTTCTTCCTTGGAGCATCCTGTGGAATCCCGCGTGTCTCTTAAGGTGCTCCAGGGTGGGGGGTGTCTGAGTATGACCCTGTTTATGGGGTGGAGGTGAGACATGTCCAGGATTCGTGTGGTCATTAGTAATGTGCTCAGGCGTGTACTGTGTCCGCCGCTGTGGACCTGTGCAGAAGGTACAGTGTGGGGCCTGTGGGTGATGGTGTGGGAATGGGGGGCTGCACACAGGAACACGTATGGACATGTGAGTGGGATGCCAGAGGTGTCCACAGGTCCAGGGAAAGATGGGAAGGCGAGCCACCAGAGCCCTTCCCCTGGGCCAGACCTGTGTGTGGACACTGAGCACTTCCTTCCCCTCCCCACTTCAAGGCAGAGGGGCATCCCCCTCCCCCAGCCCTCAGCCCTGAGAATGGGGGAAGATTGCACTTGGCCACAGGAAGCTGGGCTCCAGCGCCCCTCTCTGTGTATGGGGGGAGATGGGATTGTCCCCTGCCCAGATCCAACTACGAACTTTGGTCCCTTTCCTGCCGCCCTTCCCCCTGCCTGGCACTACAAGACTGGCCGCAGCCCGCCCCGTTGCCATGGTTACCACTGCTTGGTTACCGGTGGGAGGCGGGGCACAGGGCAGATTTAGCCAATCTGTACACTGAGGGGGAGGGTCGAGGTCGGAGCCAAGGTCCCTGGGGAACAGAGCTGTTTCCCATCCTGTCCGGAGCCCAGAGGTGGCAAAGGGCCAACCTGGGGGTCAGCGCAGGGGTCAGCAGGCCATAGAGTTCCCCCGCCCCCCTCTCCCTGTGTCTGGGAGCAGAGCTCTCACCCCACCCAAACCCTTTCTTCTAATGGCTCATTAATTATTCAGGACTAGGTCCTGGAGGAGGTGGGACTGGAGCGCCCCGCCCTTTGTCCTCCAGGTTGGGTGGGGCCAGTAGAGCAAGGAGAAGGAGAGGGCATTCCTCCCGGGGGGCGGGGTGAGTGGTAATGGGAGCCTTGAGGTGCGGGTGACGAGAGGGCTGGGCTAGCAGGAACAGGGAGGGGTTAGGGGGTGCGGGTGATCTCCAGCCCGGTTGGGGCTGCTGGGAGAGAGCTTGAGCCTGCAGGGGCAGGCTGGGGTGGAAGTCACTGGGTAGGTGACAATGGCACAGAGGCGAAGGCTTGTGAGAGCCAGCCCTCGGACACTGAAGTCCTGGCCTTGCTCCCCCACCCTCACTCTGGACGCTCTTAGGGCCTTCAAATGGGAGCTTGAGAGCAGAGGGAGGACCACCCGGCTGGGCTTTTGGAGACAATACATCCTGGGAGCATAACTGTCTTCCCTCCTACTCAGACCTAACATGCTGGAACCTGTACCCTCACCCTCATCCTCCCAGACCTGCCCGTCTTTCTGTGTTCTCTCTCTTGGTGAATGGCTTTCCCACCCACCCAGCCACCCAAGTCAGAAACCTGGGCCTCCTCCCAGCCTCCTCCCTCTCTCATACTCACATCTAATCCATCACCAAGTGCCGCTGTTTCTCCCTTCTGAATATCTTTGGAATGCATCCACCTCTATCTCTGCTGCCCTTACCCAAGCCATGCTCGGCTCTTGCTGGGGCTTTTGCAGCAGCAACCTCCAAGTGGCTTCCCTGTCTCCAGTCTCTGTCCTCACCGTCCAGTCTCTGTTCCATGGTAGGAGTCATATTGCAAAATGAAAGCCTGATCACGTCGCCCCTCATTTTAAAATCCCTCGCTCTCTTCCCCTGTCGCCTTTAGGATCAAGCCTTGGGGTCCAGGCCCTCCATCTTTAAGCCTCTGCCAACCTCATCCTTCACCTGCCCCACCCCACGCCCCCACCGTGCTGACTTCTCGGTTGCTTCCATGCTCCCAGGCCTCTGTTCCTTCTGTTTCCTCTGATAGGAACCCTCTTCCCCATCCCCTTCACCTGATGAGTTCCCACTCACCTGGAGCCATCACCTCCTCTAGGAGCCTGGGTCATGTGCTGCTCCCGTGGGCACCTGTGACTGCTTCAGGTCTGTCTGTCCCATTGGACTGTGAGTCCTGAGGGGTCAGACCATTGTCCAGTTCAGGGCCTGGAGTGTGGTAGATGAGTGAGTGTAGGGGTGGAGTCAGGCCTGAACCCCTAGTAGGACTCAGGGGGCAGGGCGGAACAATTTTTAGAGCAGAGGCCAAGAACCTCCATGCTGGTCCCTTAAGGACCAAAGACCAGGGTCTTGAAGGTAGGAACCAGCTGGAGATGCCGAAATAGGTGAGTTGGGCTCTGTTCCCAGGCAGAGAGCCACGGGAGAGGGGCGTGGGCTGGGGGCTGTGATGACCTGACCCCAGGAACACTGCACATATGTTTGGATCTGTCCCCCGCGTCATGGCCAGGCTTGGGCTGGGCCTGGGAGATGGCTAGCTGGGGCGAGTAGTCAACGTGGACAGAGCTGCTGCAAAAGGTAGGGCAGGCGCCCCAGAGAATTGACGACTGGAGCAGTGGAGCGCAGAGCGGACAAATGTGTTTCTATAGGCCTCTTAACGAGACAAATGAATGGGGGCCCTGGCCTCTGAGGGGAGTGCAGGGAAGGGGGGGCAGAGAAGCAGCTGCCAAGGGTTAGCCCAGAGGCCCCGTTATCAATGCCGAGTCAGCTCTGATGGGGACCTGGGCACGTGGGGCTCGGCGGCTCCCCCAGCTGGGGCTCGTGGCTTCTCACGAGGGAAGCTCGTGGAGCCAGAAGTGGTCCCGAGCAGGAAGAGGTTTCTGCTGATCCGCTGTGTGCATGTCAGGTGCTCTGTGGGAAGAATCCACACAGGCCTGCCTTCGGAGCCCGCAGTGTGGGTTCCTACAGCGTCCACTGTGCTGGAGTGGTGCTGACACAGAGGTAGTGACCTAAGCATCGTTGCGGGGGGAGGTGTAGGGGGCTTCCTAGAAAACAGGAGCCCTGAAGGTTGAGTGGGCGTTTGCTAATGGGGGCCATTGCCTGATGAGATGAGATTAGGGGGGAGAAGCAGGAACGAGCCTGGGCTTCTCCCTGGAGCCCATGGGAGGACCGTGATGAGGACCATCTCCCTTTTGTCCCCACACAGCTTAGCACAGTCCAGGTACTTGGAATCATAGGAGCCCAGAGCAGGATGCCTGATGGCTAGGAGTATAGGTAGGGGCAGAGGCCTAAGTAGCTGAGGATGTATCTGTTGTATCACCGCCGCCACCCAGCCTGGGGAGCTGGAACATGGCAGGGTGCTGCACCCGGTTCTGCGGTGCCCTCCTCCTCATCCTTGGGGAGGCAGGACCTGGTGGCCCAGCTAGACTCTGCCCTCCATGGAACTTCCGGCAGGTTGCTTTCTCTCTCAGGGCCTGTTTTCCTATTGCACAATGAGGATAATCACTTCTACCTGGAAAGGTTAACTGAGGTCACGTGTTCAAGGCACCTGGCACTTAGTATGTGCTCCCTCCATCCTAGGCCATGACCTGGGGCTCCCAGTGTGTCCCCTGGGAAACGAGGGTTGTCTCTGAGCGGGCTTCCCTCCCGGGGATGCCAGGAGTGGTCACAGGAGCCAGCATTAATGAGTCCCCAGCTCATCAGACTGTTCAGGGCCTGGGAAACCCGCCTCCCTCCCCTGCCTCACCCCTTGCTGCTGCATGTATGTGTGCTCTGCAGGGAAGGCACAAAATAGGTGGCTCAGTTTGGCTGGACCCTGGGAGGTGGGGGGGGCCCCACCCCAACCCCCGCCCAGGCCAGCCCACTTGTTTCCTTTCTTAGGCCACTCCCTCCCACTTTGCATGGGCTCAGCTACCTGCGGGAGTCCAGGGCATGCCCCTGGGGGCTGCTGCCCAAAGACCTGTGCAGCCCACGACCTCCATGTGCTAGGGGAGGGGAGGTGGGCCCACATCCTGGTGGGGCAAAAAGCCCCTCCGGACATGTGGTCTTCAGAAGTTCTGTTCAGACCCTCCCCGAACACTAGCTCTGGGTCTGTACTGGGCGAATGGTCAAGTCACCTGATTTTGCCTGCCTGCCTGGGGACCTGACTGGTCACTGTGGCCCACGGGTTGCGGGACGCAGAGCAGGCTCCCGCAGGCTTGAGAGTAGGGCGCACAAGAGGGGCAGGGCACGCACGAAGGCAAGGGGGTACCCACAGGCCTTGGGGGGTGATGCGGCCACGGGGCCTGAGCTGTGTCCTGCACGGTGCTTGGCCTGGGGCAGGTGCTACTTTTTTTTTTGAAAGAGTCAAGAAAGCCTGGAGAAGTTAGCAGGAGTGAGTGTGGGGAAGGGAGCGGGGAGGCAAATGTTAGCGCAGGGTTTGTGCTCCCCAAAAGTCCGCCTGGTGAAGAGAGGTGAGGGCTTGGCAGGGCTGTTGGAAGAGAGGTGCCCACCCGTGGGGGTGAGTGGGTTGAGGGAAATGAGGGGCTGGTCTGTTGGAGGGGAGGTCCTGCCCCCTGGGCTGCCCCGCGCCCGCGTGCTGCCAGTCTTGCCAGAGCCTGGTGGGTGGGTGGGCTGGGCAGGGCTCTGGCCCCTCTCCAGCCTCCGGGGCGGGTGGTGGGGTC